CCACTTCGTTTTTCGGTTCGAGCCAGGCTCGCTGGCGAGCACTCTTCCGTTCCTCATCTCTTGTACTTCCCTCATGCTGTGGTTCAAGTATTCTGCTCTAATACTATACATGAAAAAAATGATATGATATAGCAAAGGAAGTTGATTATGTATATGTGCAGCATTTACAGTGCTAGGATTCCATACAGTTTACAGAGTGAGTTAGAAGTGTGCCGGAATGGAGGGTGGCCTTGGCGAGTGCCGGCAGCGGCGTTGCTGAGGCGTCGAGAGTTGGGCACAATGGAAAATGATGGCCTGATCTGGCCAACGCTGCCGCTGATCATCACTTCCTTTTCTGGGAGGGGGGGGGGGTCGTGGGACTTATTGACTGATCCAGAGATCAATCACCTCTTGGTAGCCACATTTCTATTCATTCGCTTGTACATCGACGCCTACTTGTTTTTTGAGGATATACCTCATTTTCCGGGGAATTGTCAGTGAATCTCAGGCCATGCAACCGAGATTGAGGATCAAAAATTACTGCTTTTGGTACCGGGCCAGTGGCTGTACCCCCCTTGACAGCTGTCACCGACAAAGGCAGTTGCAGGTCTGTGTGTCGGCGACTTTAGCATTGCTCCCCTCTTGGGTGAAGCGAGACTCGTCGAGTGGCACAATTGATGGCTACTGATGGCCGTCGATGCGGATTTGCTTTTCTGGGGGTCGTGGGAAGGAATCCACGATCCGGAGATCAATCACCCCTTGGGCCGAACACTGACTCGCACTCTCTCTTGCCACAACTCATGCACCAATTCTACCCGCTCAATCTAGGTCGGTGTCTTCCGCTAGTCCCGGCACCTGGTCTCTTCCTTTCGACTGTCAAAAATTACGGCAGAACGGCACTCAATACCTCTGCGCTGTTTTTCCTCCAGACCCCCACCAGAATGCTCTTGAGCGGCCTCGGAACGTTCTTCCGCAACGTCTACATCTTCACCTGGGACGCATGGCTCACCCTCATCCACCTCGTCACTCCGCCAGAAGCTGGGGAGCGTCTGTCCGCGCGGGAGTCTCGGCGCGGGAGGAAAGTGGCCGGAATTTGTTCCACCCAAGGAGGGCGATAGCCGGTGTGCGTGTTCTGTGTTGAATGCGTTGGCGAATCACGGTGTGGCTGGTTCATTGGGCCCGGTGTTACGTACTGACTGTAACCGCTAGGGATCCTGCCTCACGGTTGGTGCACGATCCCCCGCTCAGCGAGGAGACTTGCTTCATCCCTTTTCGACGAACGGATTGTTCGCTTCACCGATATAGCGCAGAAGTTCCATGACACGTTCAATTTTGCGATGACATTCTCGCCTTTCGTGACAACCGCCGACGCGGATACGCTGCACAAAAATTATAGCACCGTCAGCTCGTTCTTTTGCTCTCTGATTTTCTAAGGATTGACACGAGTATGTGCACAGGGTACTTGCGATTTATCTGACCTCGACCTGCACAACGGCATCGTACATGATGCGTCACTCTTGCGCGCGTGAATAAATCAATGCAGTCATAAATCTCCCCCTAAATCCAAACTTTCGAACATCCCAGGACAAGACGCGCATCTCCAGCCCGACTAAGGAACGCCGTATATCCGCTTTATCACCGAACTTCTCGCATTGGCTAGTGGAAAGGACGCGGATGGGAATACGCCGCTCAAGCGCCGTGCGGACGCCAAAGCGACGAATCTAGAGTTCCAGCTCGACCAGGCGCACAAGATTTTCGGGAGCGCCAAGTAAGATTTATAACTTTATTCTGGCTGTCCACTGAGAGTCATCCCTTACACTAGCTCCTCGACTTTACTGGCCATCTTTGGCGGCAGGATGGATGACCTGGAGCCTTTCCTGAAAGAAGAGCGTATTCCAGAGGGATGGGAGTCGCGAAACTGCTCGCGCATGGGATTGACGTTCTTAGCGTTCAATCCAACTACTATCAAAGTCGAGAGAGGGATTAAAGAGGAGCCTGCAGCGCAAACTGCAGAAGACAAGGCGACGATCGCCGTTTAAAAGACCTTGACCGTAGGTTCGCCCACGTTATCTAACAATGGTGTGTACGGCGGTCTGTGCTGTATGTATGTATCTCTTCTGTCAAACTTGAACCATTAATTACAGAGGCTCTATTTGAAAGCGGCACTTCCTACTGGCGAGTTCGTCCTTCTTTGAGGTCGTTTCGCTGTGTGCTTTTTACTACTCCCGATGCGATTCCTCACGACACGTGGTACTGGCTTATAAAATTTAACAGAATTTTAACCTTCAAAGATCTCCGAAGGACGCCCGCACCCTGATGCATCCCGTTCCACGCGTGTTCTAACCCCGGCTATTTGAACGGCCGCACACCTTCTCTCTCCCGCCCTCCCCACAGCCCGTTTGCCGAGCGCTGCTCGTTGGTTGACGCTTCCCCTGAAGGTGGGAATTCGGAAGCGCTGGGGTCGCGACGTTCCCACCCCTTCCTCACACGTTTGGGCTCTCAATACTTCTCGGTAAACATGCTCACATGAACCTCCACAAACCAATGTCCAGCACTTCCACAGCGGCCATATAAGTCGATTTACGCGCAGGCTACCATCTTGTCATCCCGCCATGCTGCGCCTCGTTCCACTCGCGCTCTCCCTAGCCGCCCTCGCGACAAACGCCCTCGAATGGACCTTTGTGCAGAACGGCACCTCGGGGGTCATCCCCGTCGAGCTCATCACCATTTCGCCGACGCTGATGCTTTTGTACGACCGCGCGGACGGGAACCCGCTGCTCCTCCCCAGCGGCGAGAAGGCGTGGGCCGCGCTGTGGAATCTCGAGACTAACACGCCGACGCCACTTTCCTCCATCACAGACACTTTCTGTGCGGGCGGTGCGTTCATCAGCAATGGCACGCTTGTCTCAGTTGCCGGGCAGCCGCTCGAGACGCCTGGGCAGCCCCCCGCCGACGGCCGTATGGGAATTCGCCTTTTTGGGCCGTGTACGTCTCCCACAGGTGTTAACTGCACTGTATTCGAGGACCCAGAGAATATTCATTTGGCGGTGACGCGGTGGTACCCGACTGGACTGCGCATTCCCGACGGCAGCCTCATGATCATCGGCGGCAGCAACACCAACACATTCTACAATACCGGTCCGATCGCGGAGGATAGTATCGAGTTCTTCCCCAGTCGCCCGGGTGAGGAGGGCAGCGTCAGACCAAGCCAGTTTTTGCTCGACGCGGAGCCAGTGAACATGTTCCCTCGGTACGTTTCTCGGGTTCCACCTCATTATATTTCGGTGAATAATCCAATCTTGTGCAGATCTTTCGTCCTGCCCTCTGGACGGGTGTTTGTGATCGCGAATAACATCTCGATGCTCTACGACATCGAGACTGACACTGAAACGCGGCTCCCCGACATCCCGAACGGCGTGCGGATCGCCAACCCGTTCGACGGTACCGCACAATTGCTCCCGCTCTCCCCGCCGCTGTACGAACCTACCGTCCTCGTGTGCGGCGGCTCCGCGGCGGATGACACGCTCCCAGTGACCAACCTCTCCACGCAAGATCCCGCGACGAACCAATGCTCGCGCATAACGCTGACGCCGGCGGGTGTCGCGAAGGGCTGGGAGGTCGAGCTCATGCCGGAGACGCGGATATTGATGGAAAGCGTGATGCTCCCGACTGGCGACGTGCTCTTGATAAATGGCGCGCAGACTGGGTACGTGCCGTACTTATTCTGTGTCCCGTTGCTCGGCCGCTGGATTTTTCATCTCGTGATACCAGATATTCGGGATATCCCAGCGTCAGCGACGCAGACGGGATGTCCAACGCGGACCATCCTGCGCTGCGCCCGATCCTGTATCAGACTGAGATGCCCGCCGGGCAGCGCATTACACAGGACGGCCTGCCGACCACCGAGATTCCGAGGATGTATCATTCGTCGGCATCACTGACGGCGAAAGGGTTGGTTTATTCACTTGTTCTTCGTCACATGTACGTGCGCTCATACCTTTGCTTTCCCCGCCCGCAGAAACGTCATGGTCTCCGGCTCCAATCCTCAACCAGCAGTCGTTTTGACATCGGAATTCCCGACTGAGTTCCGGGTCGAGTACCTCAACCCCGACTTCATCACCAACGGTTTCCCGCGGCCTGTGGTTGTGAGCGCGCCGACCAAGATTCTATTCAATCAGAGTGCGACGCTCAAGGTCGACATCCCTCAGAGCTTGTTGAGAGGTCCAATAAAGGGTTCGTCCATGATCTCCCTCTCCGGGCGTGGTGGTGAATTCCATTCATTCAGTTTCGCTGATGGACATGGGCTACGTCACCCACGCGCAACACGCCAACTCGCGACTCGTTTTCCTCGAGCACGTCCTCGTTGGAAATACCCTGCAAATCACCGCACCGCCGAATAACAATGTCTATCCTCCGGGCCCAGCGTGGATCTTCGTTGTTGCGGACGGGGTGTACAGTGAGGGAGTGCTGGTTATGGTTGGGGACGGTGGCAATCCGCCCAGGCCTGCGCAGGGAGTGAAGATACCCGTTACGAGTATTTGATATATCTTTGTACCCATACAAGTGCCAGAGATGCAGATACATATGTAATCCCATTTCTATGGTTCGCTGAAGATCATCATGTCGAGTTTTAAGTAAGCTAAGGAACTAAATACGTTGTGGTTGATTTGGAACGGAGAAGAATTGAATGTAAGCTCGCGCCTACATCAACACCGAGGCGGCCTACCTCGATGCGCCTCTCCATCCCTTCACCCGCGTCACGTCCGTCTGTCGGTGTTGCAGGGAATGGCGACGGCCTCGGAGAGGGACATGACGGTAGCGGACAAGAAGGGATGGATGACCTAAGCTACTCCATGGGGAACTGTCTAAACCCGATCCTCCCACTACATTTGCACTACATCGGCTTCGCCGTTCTCGTTCGCTCTCCGCATGGAAATATCGAACAGCCCTCCGCCCCCTTGTTGACGTAGATCTTAAAATCGTTCAGCGCAAGGGCAAAATAACACAGGATGACTCACCAATAGCCCGACCCTGAGTCGAACAGGGGATCCCACAGGTACTATTATTCGCGTCAGATAATGAGCGTGGGCGCGCACCGTGCGCTATCGGGCTACTTTCCCCGTCTCGACGACGGTTGGTTTGCATGCAGCTGCTCCATGCATCGGAATTGCTCCCCGCACGGAACCATCGCGGGATATCGAACAACCCTCTGCTCCCTTGTTGATGCACATCTCAAAAGCGTCCAGCGCAGGGCAGAAAAATTCCGTACGGCCGCGCACATAGCCCGACCCCGAGTCGAACGGGGGGATCCCACAGGTACCTCTACCAGCAATTAATGAACGTGGGCGCGAACCGTCCGCTATCGGGCTTCCCTAGCCCTGGGATGCAGCACGAGTTGTGGGGACGTTGACTGAGGCGTACGCACTTGGGAGAACAAAAAGAGCGACACTGGCACTGCGGTGGCCCATCCATTTTTGGCGGCGCAAATGCGGGTCCAAACATGTCTGGTGTTTCGCTCCGTTTTTAGCGTGGAACGGAAAAGATCGGATTTTTGCCGGATTCGTTTGTCCGGCCAATAGGGACCGAATATTTTCACTCTTTCTGTGAGAAAGGCAATTCAAAACAGTCTCTTTTTGGATAGATTTTTCCGTCCCCTACAGAAATCATTTTGAGCTCAGCAAACAGCGATTGAGCAAAGGATTCCTTTGTTCAACCTCTGTTTCAATGGTCAAAAATGATGTCTTTGTGGGTCGCAAAATAAATCCTAAACATGATCAATTTTCACTTCATGTGTTGCAACGAAAAAGAAATGATTTTCAGTTGATGTTGAGAAAGAGAAAACCAGGAGAAAAAATCGATTCTTTTCAGTTTCGCATCAAAAACAGAGGGAAACGGCAGACATGTTTGGACCCCTACTTTGGGTTCCAAAAGGCATCGGCCACCGCAGTGTGGAGGATTAGAGCCTGACCCCGAGTCGAACAGGGGATCCCACCGCTACGATCTCCGGATTGATTACAATGAACGCGGGGCGAACCTCCGTTATCGGGCTTTCTTAGCCCTGGGATGCGGCGTGAGTTGTGGGGGAGTTGACTGAGACGTGCGCACTTGGACACAGGAAGGATAACCAAATAATCCGAGCTGGAATACTGAAAAGATATGCAGAAAGTACTTACAATAACTTCTGCATATCTGTGGGCGCAGGGTGGAGAAAGCATTCAAAAGACACTGTAACAATATTCTAATCTCAGAATATCTTTTGAATGCCTTCAGCATCTTTTGAATAATTCCAAGGCCGAGATATGTGAAAGTTATTGTAAATACTTTTCCAATATCTTTTCCATATTTTGGCCTGGGTTATCTGGTTATCCTCCCTGTGCTTGGGAGAATGAAAAAGCGATACCAATGGACCATAGCCCGACCCCTGCTCGAGCGGGCATCCCACGGTTACCATTTCCCTTGAATCCAATGAGCGGGGGCGCAACGTGCGCTATCGGACTTCCCTAGTCCTGGGATGCGGCGTGGTTTGTGGGAAAGTTCGAGCGGATGGGCGGCGGGGCGGGGCGGGTGCGCTCGGGGACGGATGGGATGCAGTGGACGAGGGAGCGCACGCGGGGTCGAAGCTCGCAGACGCAGCAAGCGATACGCATCCCGAGGCTAGCGGACGCACGCTGATCTTCGCGCGCCGAGTACTCGTTGGTCGCCGAGGAAGTCTGGCTGTGGCCGTCGGTGGTGCTTGCCACATCGCCCACACGTAGAATGAGGGTGTGGATGGGAATACGAAGCGTTAATCCTCAGCGCCCAGCGCATTCACGGCTCAGTTCGTGGGCATCTCGGACGTCCACCAGCACTGTCTGTCATCGACCCGCAATGTTAATTATAAGCGAGCACATAAAGAGGGGAAACACGGGTAAGATAATACTGTTTGTGGCCAGTCCGCCGTACGCACTCGACTCGCCACACCGCCGCCGCCTGCTGGCCCCCCGGATCTCGCACGAGCGCGGGGCTCGGGCTCGGGCTCGGCGGCGGCGGCTTCAGACTCCGCGCCCTCAGGCTGAAGCCCTTCTCCGCGCTGGGACCCGGTGCCTGCGGCCCGCGCGGATTGCGCACGACCGCCTGCGCCTGCTTCTTCTCCGCCGGCGGCGGCGTGCGAGGCGCCTGGCGGTCGGGGTGAGGATGAGCACGGGCATGGGCGTCTGCGCGTTGCTGTTTCGCAGCAACGTCGAGTAAGCAAGAGGGGCTGGCAACGAGGGAGGAATGAGACGCACGCAGTGTCCTACTGTACTATACCGACCAAGTATTCAGTCACTGGTCACAGACACCGTTGAATTGAATACTTTTGAAAAATGTCACAGGTCACCAGTGGCGTTAAATACTTGGCCAATCTATGTTTTTGCAGAGGGAGGCAAAAATTACAATTTTCTCTCCCCCCAAGGGGGTTGTACGCATCATACACTCATTTTATACTACAAATGAAGCCTAAACATCGAAGAATTTATGTTAATTAATGCTCCTCCCACATTTCATGTCCTCCGTACTGCATGGGTGCCTTGCTGGTGCGCTTCGGGTAATGCACAGTGAGCGCAAAATCATCCACAACAATGTCTAATTCCAAGCGACTCCATTCCGACCCCAATTACGGTGTCCCCTCCAATGATAAAACCATCCGGGAGCGGCGCGAGACCACTGGAACATGGTTGATCAAGTAAACAGTTCCTCATTGATTATTTCTTCCCCTGAGAGACCCAGGCGGTTTGGTTGAATGCAGCCATAGTGTTCCGAGGATGGTCGTGTCATGAAAGCTTGGAAAGAAATTTTCGGGCCGAATCTGACTCGGTTGAGCTCAAAATCACGTCGATCTCCTGTATATGGCGGCCGCCAGGAGGGCAAAGGAGATTTGAATACTTGAACAAATGAACACTTGAAATAGTGGTCACAGGTCCCAGACAATTTTGAATTGATGGCATTTGAATACTTGTGGTCACTGGTCACAACCCTTGAATACTTGGTCGGAATAGTACAGTAGATGCACTGGTTGTCCTCCGGCTGATCGGCGTCGGCCTCGAGAACCGGCGCGATCGATGATCGAAATGCACGGCGGCAACACTCCTGAGTTTCCGCCTCAGGCCCCTATCCGAATTTGGACATTATTCTCGGCAGCCTCGGCGGTCAATCAGATTCATCAAACTTCCCTGTCAAACGATCAAACGATCACCCACAAAAAGATCTCCTGCCCCTTCTCCATTCTGCGAATTAATGGCCTAGCACCAGCCAGCATGTTCAGCCCATGGTGGGAGTTAATTGTGTGGCCCTTCGCATGCCCGTCACTTTTTCACCGGCGCGCCTCTTGACTTTCTTTGACATTTGACACTTCGTCATTTGATCCGATCACGTCAGTCCCACTGCCTCCGCGTTCACAACTCTCGAATGCAAGGACGTTGAGAAAGGTTGAGAGCTGATTTTGTAGTTCTGGCTCATTTGGAGGCGATATATCATCAGTCTCAAAAAATACAATGAAAATTCTCACCAAAAGTTAATGCATTTGCCGCCGTGGATGCCTTGAACGGGTCTGGAGGATGTTTGATGGAGTGCCGAGGCTGCCGAAAATAATACCCAAATTCGGATAGGGGCCTGAGGCGGAAACTGAGCGAGTGGCGGCAACGGCGGCATCTAAAGCGGACTTTGATTCGGCAGCGCCACCATCAGATCGAGCCGATTCCCGATCAGGCGTTATTGATGCGTCTTGGCCCGACTGAACGACCCTGAAGCGGTAGAAATACAGAGCATATGAATAGACACAGCGAGCAGTACAGAATTATGCTACAACCGTCCAGCGCGCTCCGGGCCTATCTGAGCATCGGTCGAATTCTCCACAAATCGCGCAGCATCCCAAGGCTAGGGAAGCCCGATAGCGGACGGTCCGCGCCTACAGGGATGATACCTGTGGGATCCCCCGTTCGACTCGAGTCCGGCTATAGTTGCGCACCTATGTTTTTTCTGGCCGTGGGCTAAATGCTTTTGAGGTGTACATCAATCCAATATTTCCGTGCAGGTGCATGAGTCCTTAATTCCACTCAATTTCGGCCTCAACTTCGACATGCAAACCAGGTGGTAAGTAAAACCCGATAGCGGACGGTCCGCGTCCACATTCATTCCAATGTAAATTTAAAACTTTTCGGGGGATCCCCTGTTCGACTCGGGGTCGGGCGATGCGAGCGGTCGCAAGGATCTTTTCTACCCTGCGCTGCACGGTTTTTTGGATGTAAATCACAGAGGGGGTGTTCGATATTCCGCGCGGATAAGTCGGGTGGTTCCGTGCTGGGCGCAATTCCGGTGCATACCTAGTAGCAACCCTCACTTTCGGCCGCAATTTCGGCATGCAAACCAATCGTCGTTGTGACAGGTAAGTAAAGCCCGATCGCGGACGATCCACGCCCACGTTCATTGTAGGGGATCCGGAGATGGACCCGTTCGACTCGGGGTCGGGCTATGGTTGATCTTGGCTGGCGTGTCTTTTTGCTGCCCGTCCGGAAGGTTGCATGCGCTGAATGCTTAAGCTTTGGAATGGGTTGGATCAATAACGGTTCTCTGATATTCCGCGGTCATTCCTTGCAGGTGCATGGAGCAGTTCCTCAATTTCGGCCTCAACTTCGGCATGCAAACCAGGTGGTGAGTAAAGCCCAATAGTGGACGGTCCGCGCCATGTTCATTAATCACTGTGAGTAATGGTACCTGTGGAATCCCCCGTTCGACTCGGGGTCTGGCTATCTGAGCAGAGTAAAGTTTTGTTTTTCTCCCCGTTTGTCAGAAGATCACGCTTAATCTTTTTTAATATGTACATCAACAGGGTTCGCACTGGGTCGTTCGATATTCCACGGTTGATTCGGTGCGGGAAGCAATTTCGGTGCATGGAGCAGCTACATGCAGATCAAGGGTCGTCGTGCCGGGTAAGTAAAGTCTGATACCGGACGGCCCGCGGCCACGTTCATTATGCGTCGTAGGAATTAGTGCCTGTAGGATCCCCCGTTCGACTCGGGGTCGGGCTGTAGGAGAGGGCCAAGTCTTTTTTCTGCTCTTGCGCTGCCCGCTCTGAGATGTGCAGGACAAGGGAGCAG